ATTGAGTTTTTTAATATTAATTTTTATTTTATAATTCAATATAATTTAAATTTTAAAATGATACAGTTAAAAAAAAGTTTTCTTGCACTTGAACCTTCAAATTTAGTGACGTCAAGTTACATATAAATGTATTTTTTCTTTTTCAGGGTACTGTTTGAATCCGACCTTTTATAAATTTATTCAAAAATTTTTTTTTTCTTTTTAACAAAAGCAATTTAATATATATACATATATATTTATTTAAGTATATAAAAATTTTAAAAAATAAATTTATAAGATTCAAACATAATTCACAAAAAATGATATCCATTAATAAAAGGTCTTAGTGACCAAGCGACCAAGCGAGAGAGTGGGATCAAATTCTCCCTTCCCTTCGATGGTAAAAGTAAAACCAAACATACCGTAATACATGGGCCTAAGCCTCACTCGTGTAGTTTATGGACTTAAATAATTAAAAAATAAATAAATTTTGACAGCAAAGCCTATCAAGTTTGAGACCTAAATGCCACTGTGCTGCCATTGCTTATTTTCCAAAAAAAAATAAAAAAAGTACTGTGCTGACGTGTAAAGCAGAAGATAGTTGGCGGCACGGTCCCTCGAAGTCACCTCTAACGGGCTCTGCTCGTGTGAAACCCCCACTCCTCCGTCGACCTCTCACTGGAATTACAGGAGACCAAAAACCTAACCTGCGAAATCGATCTCCACCTCCATCAACCCCTTACTCTTTACTTGTCTGCAACACGATCATCGGGAATCGGCTTCTGCAATTCTTAATGGAGCTGTTAGATTCAAACTTGGAGTTGAAAGAGGTTCAGAAGCTGGAAGGACACACCGATAGGGTTTGGAGCCTGGCTTGGAATCCGGCCACCGGCGTCGGTGAGGTGCCGCCTGTATTTGCTTCTTGTAGCGGCGATAAGACCGTCCGCATCTGGGAGCAGAACCCCTCCACTCGATCCTGGGACTGCAAGGTCGTATATTTCTCTCTTTCAATCTATGTTTACGGTGTGCTTTGTTTGGTTGCTGAAAGAAAGATAAAAAATAGGAGTTTGTTTTACTAGGTTTTTGAGTAGGGAGGTATTCCTTGTGTATTAATATGTGAATTAGGTATTCCTTTGGGCATCAAGGATCACTTCTGAGTTTGAATGCGATAAGCTGAGTTATGTGTATTATTTTGTAGTGTTAAATAAAAATTTGTCATATGTGAGTTGTGCTAGATTAGATATGTATCTTCTGGGAGGGAAATGTAAATTATTCATTTATGGTAGCATAGTGCTGATATGATAATGTTCAGGAATTTATCATTACAAGTTGGATTTGTGCAGGCAGTTTTGGAAGAAACACACACTAGAACCGTTCGATCTTGTGCTTGGTCACCCACTGGCAAATTGTTGGCCACTGCAAGCTTTGATGCCACTACTGCCATATGGGAGAATGTTGGGGGTGACTATGAATGTGTTTCTACTTTAGAGGTAATATTACTGTCCTTGAGATATACCTCTATGTTCATATAACACTGTATAACTCGTTCCTGTCATCTTGTGATTTCTCTGGTGCTCAGTTTGTTATAATCTCCCTGCCTTATGCTTCATTTTTTAGCTCCTCTATGTCCTCTCATGTGAAGTAGAGTTTGATATTTTTCTTTCTCTGGTTTTAGGGACATGAAAACGAAGTCAAAAGTGTGTCCTGGAATGCTTCTGGGTCTCTTCTTGCAACATGTGGACGAGATAAAACTGTTTGGATTTGGGAAGTGATGCCTGGGAATGAATTTGAGTGTATTCAAGTATTGCAAGGACATTCACAAGATGTCAAAATGGTGCAGTGGCATCCTACTTTAGATATTTTGTTTTCTTGTAGCTATGATAATACCATAAAGGTACTGGATTGCCTAAATCCTCTTCTATCTTTCTTAAGCATTATGATGAGTAGAAAGAACCATCATCAATCCTCTGCTTCATTATTTGTTGATAAGAATCATAAGATTGGGTGATGCAACTGACTCATTAATGTGAATTTACCTGTAGGTTTGGTGGGCAGAGGATACTGACAGTGATTGGAGCTGTGTTCAAACTCTAGGTGAATCTAACAAGTATTATGTCTAAAACTCGTTCTATCCTGCAATTTCAACTCATTTGGTTTCTTTTTACACTTCTAGACATGTAGTCTTTCTTTTGCAATGTTGTATGATTGGGCTACTAAAATTAGTTTCAATATCTTATTGTTAGTGGTCACTCTTCCACTGTTTGGGCTCTTTCTTTCAATGCTGAAGGAGACAAGATGGTTACTTGTAGGTATGTAAAATAATTTTCTTATTGTTGATCCTCACTTGTTGGGACAATTTTTATTTGCTTATGGAATTTATAAGGAACTCTATTGCGAACATAGTTGTTGCAGTTATGAAGAGGGTGGAGGACTGATAGTAAAGTGAAATTATCAAATTATTTTGCAGTGACGATCTGACCCTGAAGATATGGGAAGCAGATATCACAAGGATGCAATCTGGAGATGACTATGCACCCTGGTAAGGAAGAGCTTAAATTCTTTAACCCTTTCATTATTGTGTGGTATTATTCTTCTAATGACTTTGTCTGATCCAGTACATGAATATTCTATTATGAAAATATTAGAAACAAGTATTGTTGAAATTTATGGCATTTTCTATTTGTGATATAATTAACACAAGCTTTATGCATAACTTATTTTGCTTTCTCTCTCTGAATTTCCTTTATTGTTGACTTATTCTTCCTCTCTTTAGAGAAGATTTTCAAAGGAAAATCTGATATCTTTAAGGTTGGCTGTCATTTCTTGCCTATAGTGGGGCTGGTTTGATATGTTATTCAGATGCTTGAATCAAGCTTGTTCTTGGCCAAAAAGAAAAATGAATCTGGCTTTTTCTTTGTTTCAGTTTGTAAATCTGTAATTCTGTATTCATACATCTACTTTATAAATGAAGCAGTAGTTAACTACAAACTATTAGCGTTCACATTGCAATGTCAAAATTCCTTGGGGCTTCACAATACCAATGTTGCCAATCTACATCAGTATTGCTGCAAATACTAAATGTATACTTTCTTTTTCATTAGAATGCATATTCTAGATATTATTGATGCTTTTATAGAGCTAATTTTCAGCTGAACGTGTAAGATATTGTCCAATGTTTTAGTTTCTATTAACTATAGCATGTGTACCAAGGAAATGCAGAATAATTTAGTGAATACATAAATATGTATACTTAAATTTTTTGTTTGTTTCTTTTATTTTCCTTTATCTTATGGTCTGCTAGTAAGGAGGTTCTTTTATGGGTTGTACAGGAATCATACTTGCACTCTCTCGGGATATCATGATAGAACAATTTTTTCAGTTCACTGGTCAAGGTATGGACTCCATCTCTTTGTTCTAAACCAAAATTATTTTAGTTCGAATGTTGTATTGGTGGGATGAGGCCACTATTAAATTTTTTGAATTTGAAATTGATTTACAAAAAGTGATGTTATAAGTAATTGTAACTAGTTTAACTTAGCCTACTTGGGTTGATTTTTTTAGCTACAGGTGATTCATTTTAGTATGATTATAACAAGATATATATAGTCACCATAAGCTGCCTCTTGACTGCTTATAAGTATATATATATGTACATATATATATTTTGATAACAAGGGTATCCGGAGGACCTTTTGGCCCAACTCATCTGAAGGACCTACAAACCGCCTTGTCCACAGGCACAAGGCAAAGCTCCACCTTCAAGGGTGTCAAGCGTGGCCTATTAGAAACCTTAAAAGAATATTCTTTTTATCTAAATAACCATTTTATTTGGCCTTTTATAATTGGAAATTTATTATGTTGGTATATGAATATCACAGGGAGGGTATTATCGCCAGTGGAGCGGCTGATGATGCTGTAAGATTGTTTGTAGAGAGCAAACATGGTTTGGTATGTTATTTTTCCTCCCACCAACTCATCCTGCATCCATCTGCACTACATTTTAAAACATGCAGGTTAGGTTGAAGGATCCTTTCTCACTTAACGGTACTTGAACAAGCAAGAATTATGCTGCTAAATTACATTTTTGCTGGTGCCTAGTCCTCTTGAATTTGGAAAGCATCAGTTAAGTAAATTAATCCATGGTTTGCCTGCACTACAGATGAATGGAGCCTCGTATCAATTGCTATTGAAGAAGGAGAAGGCCCATGACATGGATGTGAATTCAGTGCAATGGAGCACAGGGGTAAAGATTTTTGTCGCGAGAAGTTAAGAGTGATTTTTTTGTTTCATAATTCCATAACACTTCCTGTTTCTTTATCTGGTGAAACATGACACAGGATAAGCGTCTACTTGCCTCTGCAAGTGATGATGGGACAATAAAAATATGGGAGCTAGCAACTTTGCCGTGATTCAACTTTTGCCCTAACATGGGGGACGTTGTTGATTTCCGACCAGGGATAATACTAGAGGAAAACTTGTACAAGAAATTTCATGTTGTTTATCAGGGAAATGCAGTTGAAATTACAAATGAGTAGTAGATTTGTTGTTATTAAATGTTATTAAGAACAGAGTTAAATAGGTGAGAGACACTACAACTGATCCCTCTCTTTACCATACAATAGTTAATGACTTATTTCGTAACTCTCAGAGAGATTATTTATTTGCAAGTTATTACATGTACTTGATTTTTTTTTATTTTTTTTATTTTTTTTGTCTAATGAATTTCCGATGTTTGCTGGTGAAAACAAAAACAAGAGACCGTTAAGGGTATCCTGTTTAGTATTTAGGCAATCGGTTTTTTAATTTGTGCTTTAACAATTGAGGTTAATGATTTAACAGTAGAGGGTTAATGATGTTATAAAAATATATATTTATAATTAATTTATGTAAAATGTATGAATATTAATTTTAGTTTAATTAATTAATTAAAATTATTTGTGTGATAATAATATTAAAATAAATATTAATTTTTATTTTTTTATAAAGTAATTATAAAAAAATATATTTTACATAAGAAAACACAAATTAAACCGCAGCAAAAACTTAGAAGTTATGGAAGTATTTATTTATCACGTGCGAAAGTACTTTGGATGTTATGTAGCCCCTATACACGGCTGCGCTCTAGTTTTGAAAAACTTTTGTTTTTTTCTTTCTTTCGAGGACAGTTACGGGCCTTGCGGCATGGTTTACTCAAGTTTTTTCTTTTACATATGAACTGGTTGGTATTAATTTCTCCATATCGTAATGGTTTGAGATGAGAAAATGGACGAAGGAAGTGGTCTAAGTCTAACCCCTCAATTTTTAAGCAGAAAAGCTCTTCGGCTTTTCATTTCTAAAATTTGATATCTTATTCCTATTGATAATAAAATTTGTATGTCCAAATTTTTATCCAAATTTTTATGAATGAGTTCTTAAAGAAAAAAAAAAAGAGTAGATAAGAAAATAAATTTTGTTATCTTTTATTTAAAGATGTAAATTTTACAAATTTTTAAATGAGATGATAAATTTTTAATTTTGTGTAACGGTATTAATTTTGTATTTTTATTTAAAAATTAATTGAATAGAAATACTGATGTAATAAATGATTTTTTAGCCATTTAATTAACTTTTAAATAAAAAATAAAAAATTAATATTTTTAAATAAAAAAAATCATTACCTTATTTAAAAATCAACAAAACCATATTCTTAAATAAAATTTATATCTTTATTCACACATTTTCTCCCAAAAAAAAAAGAGAGTTATAAATCATTTGACTTGTTTCTCTTCAAATTTTTATCACTTGTTTCTTTTAATTTAATCCATGTTTAATTTGTATACATGCATTCATTTAATATCATTAATTAAATCGGAAACTGAGGTATGATAATAGTGGTCAGGTGTTTATTTTTTACTAACTGGTACTTTTATTTTCTGTATGGGAACTAACTAATACTTTATTATTGATTAAGGTTCATTTTTTTATGCAAATATAAATGAAAATTATATATAGTTTACCAATTTGATATCAAATTACAAAACACTTTTTTTTTTTATAACTAAATTAAGGAGATTCAAAACTTTTTATTATGAATTGCACAACTTGAATCGAGTCGCTCAGATCACTTTACTCCGTATCATTCCACTCGTGCTCATAAGGCTTACTTGTTCTGAAAGACAAAGAAAGAAAAAAAAAACCACTACACTTGTTGGCAAGTTAAGAAATAGAATCATCTAATTACTCCGTAAGTGAGAAGAGAAGGTGTCTTTGTAACCCAAATCCACATAAAAAGAAAGAAAATATTTCTTGAATTTTTATAAATAGAGTATCAACTAAAAGAGTTATAAAATTTACAACCATAACTTTAAAAACAGTAGTGAATTTGATAGCTAAATTTAAGATATATTTAGTTTGCAAGAATAGAAAAAAAGAAGAAATGATAAAATTTTTAACTAATCAAATTATAATATTAAAAAATATTATAATTTAATTAATTGAAAAGTATATCCCTTTCCTATAAACTCAAAGAAATGATAAAATTTTTAACTAATCAAATTATAATTCTCCCCTCTCTTCTACTATATTCAGGCAAACGGCAAACCACACACACACATGTTTGTGTGTGTATATATATATATATATAACAAAGACAATATTCAACACCTGTTTTCTATTCTCAACCTGCCGGATTTCGCCGGTCTTCCTTCCCTGGCCAATGCCGTGCGCGCCGGAACAATCCCATTAGGCACAAGAGACTCATCAAACGCCGAACAATCGATCCAATCCTTCAAAAACTCCTCCTGCCCCCATATTTCTGGGATCCAAACCCGACCCGCCACCTCTACCCTATGTCTCTTGAGCCTTTCTCGTCCATTATCCTCCGACTCCAACTCCGGCGTCGCTGCTACATCTTTCGTAACGTCAAGCGGAGCCAAAGGATCATCCGCCGACATACCCTCAGAGGATAACCCTTGTACGTTGTCGATTTGTTTTTTACCACACTGCTGGGTTTTTGACGATGACTCCGGTAAACTCTGTGTTTCCTCATCAGAATCATGATGGGTCGCACCTTTGTCGGCAGCCAAACCTGGGTCATTGGGTTCGATGCTGATCCCGCCATGAATCTTTTGGGTTTGTTCAGTATTCATAATGGAGAGACTGAAATCTGGGATCGTATATTTCTTCCTCTTGTTATGAATTCAAGAAGAAGACTACATGGGAGGGAGAAGATTGACGAAGAAGAAGGGTGATGGAAGTGGGTGGGATGGATTTGAGTTTTGTATGGTAAGTGACGGGAGTACGTGTCTTTTGTAGGGATTCCAAATTGTGTGGTTTGGGGATTTACTTGGAATGGATTTTTAGGGTTTGGGTTATAATTACGAGAGGGGAGGACTGTTGTTGAGAAATTTCATGTTAGATATTTATTTGGATTAAGTATTA